AATAAAAGCCATATCCAAATCAACACCAATTTGAACATTTTACATTATAATCTTCCAAACGAAGATACACACCACCCACTAGAAAAATAAACAAGGCAAAAAAATGAAAATAATATAATAATAATAATAATGACAATATCATTAATAATAACAATAACAACAACAATAATAATGATTATAATAATGATAATAAAAATAATAATAATAAAAATAATAATAATAATAATAATAATAATAACAATAATGATAATAATAATAGTAAAAATTATAATAATAATAATGATAATAATGATAATAATAATAATAATCATTATTATTATTATTATTATTATTATTATCATTACTATCCTTATTATTATTATTATTATTATTATTATTACTATCCTTATTATTATTATTATTATAACAACAACAACAATAGTAACAACAATAATAACAACTGGATACTCACTGCATCCAAACTCGTCCGACCCATCCACACAGTCGTAGAAGCAATCGCAGAAGAAATCCGCAGGAACGCATCCGCCCACGTTGCAAGGCAGCTCGCCCGTCGGACATGTCGTGTTGGTGGGCGGGGGACCAACGCCCGTCTCGCACTCCTGAGAAGGATTTTTTATTTTGGCTTTATGGAGTCCTTCTTAAGCCCTGCTTCTGTTCGTTGAATTTATTGGGGTTCATGGGGATAGTTAACTATATTGCGTGTTACTGTTAATGAACATTTATATTGTTTAGTGAATGAATGTGTTTTTGTTTTGTTTTTTAGATTAGGTCATAATGGGTGTAAATTATTTTTTATGCCTTTGAAAAATGATAAAAAGAATTGTAATACTAAGTCCTTTTGAAACGTTTTAGGATGTTATTGATTGAATTTGTAAATCTTCTCTAACATTCATTTAAAAAATGTGAAATATACCTTTCTTTTAGCTGAAGGTGATACTATATTTTGGTGGTCAATTATTCATGTGTTTATTATTTAATTGTTCAGTAAGTATGGGGATTCAACATTTACCTGAGCCAGTATGTGGTGTGTATATAAAGTATATATATTGTCTTTATGATCTAGAGTGTACAGAGAAGTATTCAAAACATCAAATCTTGAAACTTCTAGCAATAAACATAGAAATAATAAAAAAAAACATCAACAAATAAAACCAAGATTCACAATAATAAAAAAACAACAAACTAACAAACAAATAGCTTAAAAAAAACAAGATTTCCGTTCTGACATTTTCATACAAACGGGGACAAAAAATCAAAACAAAACTCATCAATGAAACGCACGGGTGTGAACGAAACGTCATCAAGGGCGATGTAGGTGTCTTGAGAAGTGCCAGTTTCAGCCTCGAAGACAACGTGGAAGTCCTCGTCCGCTTCCACTAGAATGATCTCCTCCAGCCAGTTCTTCTCCTGGTTTCCACTTCGGACTGACACCACCAGCCTCTCGCCGCGGTTGTCTGGGGAGGGTGAACATGAGTTGGTTTGTTTTTCTTTCTTATCTCTCTTCCTTCTCTTTTATTGTTTTTTTTTTCTCTCTTTCGTTCTCTGTGTCTATCTGTCTCTATCTGTCTATCTATCTATCTCTCATTCTCTCTCTCTCTTTAATTATTTTTCTCTCTCATTCTCTCTCTCTCTCTCTCTCTCTTTAATTATCTCTCTCTCTCTCTCTCTCTCTTAATTATCTCTCTCTCTCTCTCTCTCTCTCTCTCTCTCTCTCTCTCTCTCTCTCTTTCTCTCTCTCTCTCTTTAATTCTCTCTCTCTCTCTCTCTCTCTCTCTCTCTCTCTCTCTCTCTCTCTCTCTCTCTCTCTCTCTCTCTCTCTCTCTCTCTCTCTCTCTCATTAAGTAAATATCTATACAGAATCATAATATCGATTTTTTGTCAGTGTTTGTTATTCTTCACATAAACATTTCATACGGTTTATTTAACCTGAAAATGTAAATTAACCTTAGTAAACATATTCAAAACACCTGTTAAACTGAAATTCTAGTAACATTCTTTTCCATACGCTCCACACATATAAAATTTCTAAAACATATAGAAACTTACTTTCTAAATATACTCTGAGTGTTCCTAGATCCACATTTTCTGCAACCTGATGGCTTGTGTGCATATAGTACCAGAAGCGGATGTAACACACGCCCTTTGAAGCAGGGTACTTCTGGTCTGGCATTAATGATGCAAGCAGCCCCTGAACTCCTCCAAAGTTAGTGACGTATACATAGTGTCCTGTAAATGAAAAGCGAAAATAAAATACATTAAAAAAATAGAATACATTTAACGTAAGGAGATGTTATCAACACGTCATCATTTGAAATACTATGTTTGGTAAATATATTCTTTTCGAAATTATATATGATGAATTACATTTTTTTACCATGCTTTGATTAAAAAAAAAAAAAAATACATGATTCCACAAGAAAACAGCAAGACAAACTTTACCATTGGACCCCAAAGTATGGTCGTGCTCTGGGCCGACGCCAACGATCCCGGAGCTGGCTTG